GTCGAAGGTCATTCCTGGCCATTCCGCTTTGGTGCTGTATAATAGCACTAATATGCCATAGTGTGCTATGTTTATGACACATTCTGGGTTTTTTCTTAGATACAGTCTTTCCACCTCTAAGTTTCCTTTTCCTCTTATGTGAAGATTCTGAATGATAGGGGGTGAAGTAATAAATTTTTGAAAAATGCTAGAAATTGTTGATACAGTTGCATGTCGTTCATGCTGGAGAGAGAGAATCAGGTTCTTCATACAGGCAGGAGCCTGGAAATGCAACAGTTACCTTTCTGTTGGAGTTCTTACAGAACTTGTGAAAAAACACTGGCCTGCACCAGCAAGTCAGTATTCCTGATCCAGCGCTTTTTGTAGCTCTCTTTGAACGGCTCAAGAACAACAACTTGTTTAGGAAAACATTGAACAGTTCAGTGTGCAAGTCATCCTGACAACAGGTGATGGGACAAAATGAATGTGAACTGCAAAATAAAAAATAAGATGCAGGTAATGGGACTGTGAAATCTGTTGTCCAGAAAACGATTTTCTTTTTGGGGGGAGTTAAATCCTGTCTACTAACTACTGAATTTAAGCGAGGTCTTTGCCCTCATCTTTGACGGTCCCTTTCAGTGGGCCGTGTCTCAGCCTGTCCGTGCCTCAGCTGCTAGCAGTGCTCACCGAGCTCCTCACACGGTGGAACCCAGGGGTCCCAGACCACGTCTGCCCGGGGGCAGGGTCCTCGCCCCTGCTCCTCTTCATAGACTCGACCCGAAACGCTAGCTCATGGGAACAGATACCGACCGCCACTGGGTGGCACCAAGTTTCCAGCCCACGCCTTGCAAAAGGCGACTCGCCTCTCCCTGTCACCCGTGTTCTCAGTTTCGTGTTGCATTTCCCGAATACCGTAGGACTCTTGCTTGTACTGATGAAAACCATTGTTCACCTCTGCTATTTGTCCTTCTTGTAGTCAGTCCTGTGCTTTTTACCTGTTCCTGAAGGATGGCAGATGGCCACAGAAACGCAAAAGCCAAATAACTTCAGAGCTCCTGATGCAAAGAGGAGCAGAGCGCAGCTCTCTGACCAGCTTTGGCTGTTGAGGCATTGTTTTTTCACCATTCCTTCCCTTGCTAGTGTGCTAACGTACCTCATTAATGTCATCTCCAGCTCCAAATTATTTTAGATTTGTTTCTGACAGTTAGCTTTAACCTCTAGGGTAACAGAAGTTCTTTGCTGAGATGGTACAGTCCAGCAGGACAAAAAAATCTCACAACAGTATAGGCTCCATTCACAACAGAAATACTCTCATCCCCTAAACCTTACTTATCTGGGGTTTTTTACTGATTGTATAATGATTTTATTGCATATGATTTTAATGAAAAATTCCTTCTGTAGCTTACTGAACCTAAGTCTAGGTAGCAGGAGTAAGTTCCCCTTACTAGCTAATGAAACAAGGCAGCCTCCAAAAATTTGAAATAACCTGAGTAGCAGAATTCAGTTCTTACAGAGGATTTGCAGCCAGCCACTTCCTTTCTCAAACATGTATTTTAATCTTTAATTTGTTCACGGTGAGTCATTCATGCAGAACTTTCATTCCTAATCACAGTAATCCTTCTGATTAAACACTTAATAGTTGTATGAAGCGTGGTAAAACTGTTTAGATTCCTTTGCTGTTAATTATATAATATCCTTCCTTATGCTTGTTTCACATAAGAAGCTTGGATGCAAGCAAGTATTCAAATAAGGAGAAAAGGCAAGATGCTAATGAAAGTAACGTTGTGGGATCTTACGAAGCACATAGGTTGTAGGGAACGGGAACCTGTCTCTCCTGTCAACCTCCGTTTTCACAAGAGATTTGCAGAGTATGGTCCTCCTATTTGCAAATGAGAGCTAGCTGAAGTGTATAGTCAATGTTTATTTCTAGTGAATATCTAATGAATACTCCTCCAAAATAAATAAATAGAAAATCCAATACTTGGGTATAAAAAGTGATTATGTGAAACTGCCATATGCTTCTTCTTAATATACATCTTTTCAATTTCTGCCTTTACTATTTGAGCTATGAACTGATTTTCAACCAAACAAACATTGGCAAATCTTGCTGAAGTGGTTTTAGGAAGTTCTGTGTACTTATCCCCTCTGTTTGAGGCTGCCACTCCTATGTCAGATTTGTGAAACAGGTGCCTGAGCCTCAACTATTGAGGATGAGTTTACATTAATGGGTTGCACTATGCGCTTAGCTGGTCCAGAAATGGAACCTGTTTACTCTTGCTGAAATGTGGGAGAACCCCAGCCAAGTGATAAATAGTTACGTAGTGAGTGTAGGTTATTTAAACTACCCAGTCAAGAAGAACTAGAGATCATGTGCCAATGTCTCAGGGAGCCTGAAATACCTGCTGCAAGGATATTGCATGTTACCTTCCATGATAGTCTTTTCGTGAAAAACCTCTGGTTTCTACAAGTAGTTTAGAACATTAAAATGCTCTTGCAACCCTTAAACCCAAAGCTTCTTAAACTTATAACATGGATCTTTGCCATTCCCATTTGATGGATGTGGCCCACT